GAGAGAGGGGAGAGGGAGAGAGGGAGAGGGAGGGAGCGAGAGAGAGGGAGAGAGAGAGAGAAAGAGAGAGAGAGAGGAAGAGAGAGAATATGACTCCTTATGTACTTCAGGCTAGCCTTGAACTTAATATGTCACATAGGCTGGCCTCAAACTCACAGTGATCCTCCTGCCTCAGCCTTCCCAGTGCTGGGATTGCAGGTGTGCACCACCTCACCCTGTACAACACTTTATGATTTTTCTATACCTTATTTCTGTTACTTTTTATTGCTACAAAAGCATGTATCTCCTTGCTACTTCTAACTTGCTGAGCAGCAGAAATCTTTAGCCAACCTTCTTCAACCTGTTTGTAAAATAGGCTATGGAACCTAAAGAAGTTCTCTGGCAAATAAAGTTTTAGAGAAGATTTTACAATGCATTTTTGTTGTTGTTGTTGTTTTTAAAGACAGGATCTTGATATCTAGTTCAGGCTGGCCTTCAACTCACTATGTAGTCCAGACTAGCCTTGAACTCATGGTAATCCTCCTGACTCAGCCTCCCAAGTGCTAGGATTACAAATGTGCGCCACCACACTTGGGTTACAATGTGGACTTTCTGACACAAAGATTTTGCCTGCTCAGAGGCTTTTAAAATTTTTTCTCGGGGGCCGAGGATTTAGCTCAGTGGTTCCCCTGCCTGCCTCACAAGTGCAAGGTCCAGAGTTTTATCCCCAGTACCAAAAAAAAAAAATTTTTTTTTCTCCTCTGTGTTAGTTGGGATTATATGATAATAAAACCTGGATGGCTTAGTTTTTGTTGGGGTCCTCAAAATCAAACCCAGGGCCTTGCTCAGGCAAATGTTTTACCACTGAGCTATTCCCCCAGCCCAAACCCGGATGTTTTATTATAAATTAAAGCAGAAAAACCCATTATTTTATACCTATCAGTATAAAATACCAAATAAGTTTTATATTGGGATTAAACATTATTTTGTTTTACACAATTAAAAATATATAAATTATATAATCCAAGCTGTGTGTGATGGCACAAGGCTATAATTTCAGCACTTTGGGAGGCTGAAGCAAGAGGACTGTACACTCTAGCCCTGCCCGGGCAATTTATTGACTTAGTGAGACCATGTATCAAAATATAAAATTTTAAAAAAACAGCCAGGCATGGTGGTGGCCCCTGTAATTCTAGCACTCTTAGAGGATGTGGGAAGAGAACTGCCTTGAGTTCAAAGCCAGCCTGAATTCAGAGTGAGACTTTGTCTCAAAAAACCAAAAAAACCCACAAAAACCACTATAATTCAAACTAATGATTCATTTAATGAGAATTCT